CTGGGTCGGGACACCTGTGAATAGTACTTGTCGAGCTCCTGCAGGTACTTGAGCGCCTCGGCCATGTTGGCGAGCTGGCTGGGGTCGGGCTTGGCCTCTGCGACGGCGCCCAGGTCCGTCGCGACCACGAGGACGACGACCACAACGACGGCTGCCCACATTTGGCTCACGCGGCACATGGCGACTGATCTGAGGGCGTTCGGCGGCGGAGGCGGTGTGGTGGCGGCGGATGCTCCAGGGGACACTGTGAGTGCTGGCCTGGGGCGCCGCTCCCTATATACCTCCGCCGCGTCCTGCTTGGCGCCGCCCCACGCCCTTGCTCGCCCCCTCACTGCCTCCTGCCCTTTGCCCGCCCCCCCTCCCCTCCGCCTCTGCCCGCCCTCACGCCGCTTCCAGATGGCCCTGTGCGCTCCCTGTTCGCCGTTCCCTCTCGCTGCCCTTCTCAGGCCCGTTCACGCCCCTCCCGCAGACCTTTTCCCTCCCGCAGAGTCCCTCGTCGCACTCTGATCCGGGGAAGGATCTAGGGGAAAAATAGAAGTGGCGGGGAAGAATGTATAGGAGAAAAAACAAAAAAAGGGGAAATGAAAAGGAGAACATACATAAAAAGACGAGAAAACACAAGAGAACAGACAAACAAATAAAGAAGGAAAGAGAGCGAGGAGACAAGGCATCCGAGTACGAAAGAATGATTGGTAATATTAGCACCAAGCCAGAGCTGTCAAGGGCAAGACAAAACTCCAGGATTTTCTAGTTGATTTCACCCACACCGTCCATCGGATATTCTGGACTTGTGAATCCACACATTTTTACACATTTTATACACATACGGGCGTTTTCTTAGAGGCCCGATCCGATGAACATTCACAATACGGACGCATATACACTGAAATAAATGCATATTTCTCAGTCTAGACATGCATATCCACCGTGCAGATACACAGATAAATGTATATATATCTGATAGGCAAATATGCATTTATTTCTGTATCTATACATGACTGTAAATGCGAATATTCACTGGGTCGCGCCTCGCAATATTCTAACAAACCGGCCGTTAGTCAAAACATTCTTTGAAAACTGTGATGATAACAAAGGTAAATGCCTTATCAGTAGTTCTGTGATTTAATGGTAGTGATGTTTTGAATGATGAGAATGATGATTTGAATGATGCTAATGATAATCTGAATGATGATAATGATGGCATGAATTATAATAATGATGATTTGAATTATGATGATGATGATCTGAAATTTAATGATGATCTGAATGATGATAATGATGATCTGAATGATAATAATGATGGTTTTAGTAATGATATTGATAATACTCTTGATGATAATGTATAATGAATGATATGGTTTTAGTAATGATATTGATAATACTCTTGATGATAATGGTGACATTGATATTGAAGATACATAAACAATTATGATAATATTGTATTGGGTAATGATAATGATACCAACATCAGTTCCATGTACATGATATTGGCAGATATGATAATGATAATGACACAAGGATAATGTTGATACTAATGGAAGCTGTAACACCAGCAGTAGTAGTGGTGGTAGGAGTAGTAGTAATAGAAGTAGTAGTAGTAGTAGTAGTAGTAGTAGTAGTAAAAGTAGTAGTAGTAGTAGTAGTAGCATTATTGGTAGTAATAGTAGTAGTAGTAGCAATAGCAGTAGTAGGTAGTAGTAGTAGTAATAGTAGGAGTAGCAGTAGTAGTAGTAACCATTGTAGTAGTGATAGTAGTAGTAGTAGTAGTAGTAATAGTAGTAGTAATACTATTAGTAGTAGCAGTAGTAGCAATAGTAGTAGGAGTAGTCATGGCAGCAGCAGCAGTAGTAGTAGTAGAAATAGTGGTAGTAGTAGCACTAGTTGTAGTAGTTGTAGTAGTGGTATTAATAGTAGTAGAAGTAGTAGATGTAATAGCAGCAACAGTAATAGCACTCGAAGCAGTTTTTAGTAGCAGTAGTAGTTGTTGCTATTTTGTTGTAGTTGTAGTAGCAGTAGTAATAACGACAACCATAATAATAATAATGATATCGATGAAAATAATCATGGCCGAAGTAACAAGAGCTGTATTTTTGATAATACTGCTGCTGTCAAAACGATATGACCATTAAAAGAGACATAAGATACTAGCAATAACAACGTCGATGGTGATGACGATCATATTAGAAGATATGATATGATAATGAAGAAAAGGTGATGACAAATATTACAAGAATGATAATAGTGATAATGACAGCACTACTACAAATAATAATAACTTGAAGCCTACAGTGAGCGCATACCTCCGCCAAGGCAATGGGACCACTGATGCAATACACATATTCACACTTGAAGAATCACATTAAAATCGCCTCTTCCTCAAGTGCACTCGTGACGTCCTTGGCAGAGGTAATGGAAGTAATGATGATAATAGTAACTGGTAACTGATGCAATCATTAATAAAATTTCTGGATCCGGATCATGATTCGTAACTCTACTACTAATAACGATAATGATAATGATAATGATAACAACAATAATAATGATAATAATAATAATAATAATAATGTTGATAATAATGATAATAATAATAATAATAAAATAATAATAATGTTACTAATATGATTATAATAACAGCAACAAAAATAAAAATAATGATAATAATGATAATGATAATAATGATGGTGATAATCATAGTAATAATAATATCAATGATAATGATAATAACGGATAGTAATCATGATAAGAAAAAAAATAATAGTTAACAATAACAACACTAATAATAGAATAATGAATATAAACAATATACATAAATGTAATAATGATGATAATAATTAATACTTTCTATGATAATGGAAAATAGCCAATGATTAAATAAGATAAATGATATATTGCAATGATAATAAGAATTTCTAGCTATTTATAACCATAAAATATGAACTCTCAATAAAAAATGTTAATATATGATAATTAATAATGATAAATTAATCAATGCGATGATGTGCGATGATTGAACATATAGATGAATGATGATGCGATGAAAGAATGCCATCGCATGGCGACTCCTGGCATTCTGATGATTGATTGATGACTGATGATGATCGATGTGAGTGATGATGATGCTCGATGATTGATGATGTATGATGATCGAGCATGATGACATTAAATATATATATGATGACACTTATATCTTACCCGATAATTAATAATAATAATGATTCAACGACATAACTAATCAAATACCATTCGCATCAATAACAAATGATAGAATGTAATTAATAGTTAAGTTACTGGTAGTAATGGGCAGCTCCAAATCGGTGATAATAATACACTGAACCATAATGATAACAATAATATTAATTATAACAAAATAAACTACTCCATCACATGATCATATGGTAGTGATCCTTAATGATAGTTTCCTACAAATTATATACTGATAATAATAATAGTAATTATTAATGAATACATAACTGAATGTATAAGGACTAAAGGATGTCAACAATAAGGATACCGATGGCAAAACATACACCAATAAAAATCATCTCATAAATCGGTAATCCAACACCGCTATGAATACATTGATATGATTAATGATAATCAATGAATTAATAATGACAATCATAATTAACCAATAAAAATTAATAATCGTGATAATAACATGATAAGTGATGGAAAATAATCATAATCACCAACAACAATAGTCAATGATGTAATTAATGATAGAATAATAATTAATGAATAATCGATAATTATGCATTTAAATTTAAAATCGGATTAACAATATTCACTGAATAATAACTAAAATGTGTATAATAATGGTTATATAATAACTAATGATAATAATGATATATTAGTAATAATAATAGACAAACAACAATAATCGATATATAAATCAATGAAATTATGTGGCAATACATAGCAAAATAATGATCCATTCAATCGATAATGCGGAAATAATACGAATAAACTACGAACAATAATAAGCGACTAATCGACGATACATGATATAAATACATCGAGAAACACACGAACAGCCTATCTACATAAATCTCAGTATATAAAACAATAACGCGATTTGATTGATGACCATAACAGTTAATAATTAATAAAATCAATAATCAATAATTAATAATAATAATAACATCAATAAATAAATATAATAATAAGTGATAAACAAACAGATACATACAATAATAAAATTAATAATAATAAGTGAGAGAATAACTAATAATGATACTCATAAATCAATGATAATGATACATAAATGATAAATGATAATAATAATACAATACAATAAGAAGAAAATAAAAATAATTGATATCGAATAATTCGATCCCTATAATATATGATAATAATAACAAATAGTCATAGTAGAATAATGCCATCAATAATAATGCATATGATTACTAATAGTGATAATGATTAATAATAACAACTTACAGTAAAAGATACATTCATAAGGAACCGATAAGAAATAAGAAACCATCCGGATAATAGCAATATCAATAAACATGATACTGCTAACTACAAAAAATGATAGTACAGAATAATAATAATGAGTGAGTGAGTAACCTGATGATCATTAATAACCAGTGCTAATAACTGTAATTCCGATCATCATCAATAACATTAGCCGTTATTATCTCTTACAATTATCAATCGTCATCGTTCAATTATCATCATCATATACATATTCTATCTATCATTTATCTTAACTATCATTATTAATCTTATCATTATCTTTATTTATTATCTATCATTATCATCCTTCTCATTGAATTGCCATTATAATTATTGCCATCGATTGATTTTATTTGTTCTTTCTTTATCTACAGTTAACTATCTGTTCTAATCTCCCCAACTCTGTCTCAATATTTGTATCATCTTTTCGTCTTCCTACTCCCTCTCTTTCTCTCTCTCTTTCTCCTCCTCCCTCCTCTCTCTCTCTTCCCCCTTTCTCCCCCTCCCCACCCTCTCTCCCTCTCGCATTTAGATTAGCAATGTCTTGATTATATCCATCAATATTCAATTAATACCTACGTATTCCTGCGCACATGAACATATCTCATCAGGGAAATTAACAGCTATGTGATCCACTGCAGCTCGACCTCCTCGATCTACTAGTCAAGGACCCGCAGTCGGGTACTTCCATTCATCGTTAAAGAAGGATATAATATATTATATATTATAGTTTTAGCTATTTAATAGTATATAACGTAATATTTATAACCTTATATATTAC